CCTTATTTTCGCATGAAAAAATGATTAGTAAATGTACAGGACATTCGTGATGAATGGTAATTTATTATAAGAAAATACGAGGTTAATTTTAGAGGCTTTGACAATGATAATAAATTTATATTTAACAGAGTAATTAATACCTTTTTCAATCACCTTTGAAATTAATTTTGTGCTAATAAGTTTACTAGTGTACATTTTATCGAGATGCTTTGTTATTGGTGATGGTTTAAAAGCTTATCTGCATTTAAAAACTCTTTTTTGATTTTGTTTTCATCATCTAAAAATAACTTATCATGCCAACCTGCAATTTTATCAAGAATTTTCAAAGCACTAGGCTGTTTTTGCGGATTAGAATTGATGCATTTCTCAGTGAGCTTAATGTAGCATTTAGGAGTTCTAGGTACAAACCCTGGTTGCAATCCTTGCAAAATCTTAACTGCAAGTTTAGTATCAAATTTATATCCATCAAAAGGTCTTTGTCCAGTTGACACTTCTGCCATAATAACACCAAACTCATAAATATCTGCTGCTGCTTGTATAAACAGCTGCTCGCTTGATAAAACTTCAGGTGCAACATAGGGTATGACTCCAAAAATATTGCTCTTTGAACCGTCTTTATCTTTTTTTCTAAACCATCCAAGATCTGCGATATAGGATCCTTTGTCTTGCAAAATATTGCTACTATGAAAATCGGCATGAATATATCCTGCACATCTGTGAAAATTATCTAACTCATACGAAATGCTTCTAAGTATTTGCAATTTAGTATTCCATGTAAGCCCACTAAAATTTTTTTTTAAATATTTATGAAGACTCCCATGGGTAGCATAATAAAATACCATCATGTATTTTTTGTATTTGTATTTTGAGTTATTCTATATATTGTGATCTTAGTATTATTTAATTTACATGTCATAAGACTTTTAAACTTGAGTTTAAACAGTTTAAACAATAAATTAGTTCAATAAATTATGTGTTAGTTAAATTATAAAAGCAATATAAAAGCAATAAATTAACTTACTTCCTTTAAAAAATTCGAACTAGCTTCTTTTTTCTTATCATTATCCTTAGAATCAAACAATGTTTTGAGTGCAACAATGCTATTTAGTTCACATGCTTTTTTGTATATATAGCTATTACCGTCATTAATTTTTTCAACTTTTCATATGCCATGTAAAGTTAAACAAAGAATTTTATCATATTCTCTTATATACAAATATAGAAATACAATCTGAAGTTACAAGGATAGATTAACCAATCAGACACAAAAGGTATACTTAATGAACTATTTATACTTACCCATATATTCTATAATCCTTCTATCGAATAGATGTTATCAATAGTTAATTAAATTTTTTACAGATAACTATACTATATATAATTCAAGCAGTTAGCTATAGTTAACATATAAAATAAACTAGTACCAAACCTTAATTAATCTTTGCTTGCATAACTCTTTTGACTAATCTATATATACTTACAAGAATTTTATCACATAACCTAATTGTAGTATGATCGATATTGCTGCAACTATAGGAGAGACTTGGCTAACATGGGGTCAAATTAGCTCAGAGTTACAAACATAGGTTATATGAAATAGATTATTATTAGGGGTTTAGAATTAATGATAGTGGGTTATTAAGAAATGTATCTAGTTGGTTAGGGTGAGATCAAATAAAACTCTAGTATTAGTAATATTTGTAATTTTACTTATTTTGATAAAAATCTGATTCTCTTGTATATTATATATTGTTATTTAAAGTCTTACTATTAACAATCTGATCCTAATAAAAAAATAAACTAATTTTAGTATATGACATTGTGACCTGGGGGTCATGTACTACCAACCTGCATTTTTTCTTACATTCAATTTTTGATTTATAAGAAAGCCCTTTCTTATTATATATAATGCTGCAATAAGAAAAAGTACAAATAGGATTTAGAAGTGCTATACTAAGGAAGAGTATATAGTATTATCAAAATTTATATGCCATAGGAACTTGGAATTCTCAGATCGCTGAGATCATTGACTTTTTCACTTGGTAGTAGCAAGCATCGAATCTAAGAGGCTATGTCCCTAAAAGGATGCTAAAATATATTTAGTATTTGGGCTTTATAACCGAAATGAAGTTGCTTTGTTAAGTGTGATCTTGCAGTATTAGAGTAACACAATTACTAATCATATAACTAGCAATTTTTTTAGATCTAGAGAATAGTTTGTATAAAAATAAGCAATTTTTCTGCTCTTGTAGGTGGGTTATAATAATATTTTTTTACTCATATATAATTTTTTTATTCAACCATAATTTATTTTTAAAGTAATGTTATTTTGTCTAACAGTGTTTATAAAAATAAATTTGACTTACTAAATTTTTTTGTATTTAGGAATATGAAATAAGCACTACTCTCAAGACTAATAACGAAGCTACCACCCCCAAGACTAATGATGCTACAACCCCAAGACTAACTATAGCTCTACTCCCAAGACTAACGATTCCAATTTAGAAAGTGATCAAAAAAAGCTATCTGGTGTAGGCATAATTCTCGATTATCAAATACTATATAATTACCCTGGTATCAACCCTATAACATTTTCAAAAGTAATAAAACCTCGCGGTTACAGCTTTTAATTTTTATTTGTATTATTTTATTTGTATGTTGTCATTCTGGCAAAAAAAAAAATTTATTAGACCCAGAGAGTTATTGCTTCGCAATAATAAAGAAGGGGTTCTGTGATCTTCCTATATTTTATTTTTACGTAATTTTTATTGATATAATATATCAAAGAATAGATAAATAATTAGTTATTTTTTTTAATAAAAATATAGTATATAATATAAATTATATTACAAGATAGCATATGAAAATGTAAAGTTTATGAAAAGGGTCATGAGCCTTACTTGGTTAAAGCATTAATTAATACATCATCAGATGAAAACATTATTAGAAGAAGCTTAGTCGATAATAAAATATAGTAACCCACCAAAATATATTAAAAAGAAAATGAAGGATGCCTTAGGTATTATAGAAAGCCTTGAATTATCTTTTCAATTTAAGAGTAAGGATAAATTAGTATCTGGTAGTGATGAAGTTTTAAATGATTTTGTAGTTTGCAAAGAACCTAAAGCTAATCTTGTATTAGGAATGCCATGGCTGTGGTTGTGTAAAACAAAAATCGATCCTTATAATGAAAGAATTTTAATTTATAGTAGAGTGATACCATTCTACAAAAATCTATCTGATAATTTAGAGAGTGATATATCTAGTCTGAATATTTCTCGAGGAAATCATATATCATGCAAGACTAAAAGAAAAAAGAAAATTTTAAGGGGCAAAGCTCTCTTTTACTTTGTAAAAGATGATACTGCATATGAGTCCTTATCTTCATCTTTATCTGGGTCTGACTCTGAATCATCTAGCTACAAAGTAATTGTGGTGAAAGCAAAAAAGCGTGATTAGTCTTTATTGTAGATTTGAAATAGTCTTGATAGTTTTATTTACTAGTTTAGCTTATATAAGTATTCTAGATAATATTCTTCTGCCTTAAATAAAAAATAAATTGATCATAAATATTTGATTATTGATATTCTGGTTTTAGTTCAAGCATTATCATTCTTTTTTCAGCTTCTTTATGAGATATTCCTCTTGCTATAAATTTTTTGTATGCAATAATATGCCAATCTCCAAAAGCTAATGTAGTAATTCCATCTGATAAAATTCATCTCTTAGTATCTAAAGGGCTAATACCAACTTTAGATGAACGAAGAAGTCTGATAATATAGTCTTTACTTTCTAATCTATGCATTGTTACTATACATTCTTTTCGAGATTTTAAACAATCTTCATACATATCATGAGTAAGGTTCTTTTTTGACTACTACCTTTTGTATTCCTTTAGCTTTTTGATTTGTTTTCTCATTAGCAAGAATATAACTATAGAGCTTAGGTCTTGGTCTACAAAATTTCCACATAGCAGTACCGCAACTTTCATCTTTAAACTTACCAGGAACTTTTTTATTCAAAATAATTTTTTTTTTCCAAGAGCTTTGTATATAGGATGTTCTGGCTTATAAGCGCTAAAATCAAAATATTCATGTATCTTTGCTATATCTTTATAAACATTCTCAGTTTGAATAAGTAATATAAGAGAATCAGTATTAGTATATACTACTTTTATATTATATCCATATTGTTTTTTTATAATATTATAATAGAAATTATACATAGTAATCTTACTTTCATCAAGAACAGAAATACCAATAAAGATAGGTTTACTAAGTTTAGCTTTTGATTGATGACGAGAAATACCTACTAAATTCTCTGCTAAAATTTTATGTGACTTATAACTAGGATCAGCTACTAATTTTTTAAACTTTTTCGATTCTCCTTCTGGTTTAACAAAATCTATTCTTTGATATTTGCGTACATTCTCTACAGTCTTTCTATAGTTTGCATTACCAAGAAGTTTATACATATTTTTCTCAAAATCATTCTTAGCTAAGCATGAGATCTTGCCAATTCTTCCATAAAAGGCTTCATCCATGGGCTTTGGTTAAATTCTATAGCTTGGTAAATTTTAGTAAGTACCATTCCCTGCTTTATATAAAATTGTAATGCTTGATAATGAACTATATACTTTTTCTTATTATTGAGATTTGGAATGAGTTTTCTTAGTCTTTGTATAATGTTTTAAATCATTAATAATCTCTTGTTCACATTTACTCTTTTTCTCTTTAGAAATTTCGATATTTTCAGAAGCTAAAGGATATAAAGTATGAGCTTTGTGTAATTTATATAAATAGTCAAGATCAACTTCCAAAATATAGTCTTTTTCTGCATTATCAGAGATCTCCCACTTGGTAATTTTATTAAAAAGGTCTGAAGTTTCTTCTGGCATTATCCATCTATGCCCCCCTGTTGACATAGATTGCATCATTGCTCCAGTATATAATGCATTAGCATCAACATATAATAGCCAAGTATAAAATTTTTTCATAGCTTCTTCTGTTTCTAGAACAAAATCAGGACATTGTGGGTTATTAGCTTTAACTTGATGATTACTTACCATTGAAATACCTTCTCTGAAACCTTTCTCACAGAAGAGATACATATTATCATCAGTAAATAGCTCAATCTTTTGTCCTGTAGTTTTATATAAAGCATCTTCTGCAAATGAAGGAAGAAAAACATAGTGAGCAATATCTAATCCAAATTTATCTTTCATTAATTTATGAAATCCTTCTAAACAATCTGCTAATAATAGTATATCAAGGTTAAGATAAAAGTTATGATAATCTCTTAATGTTTTCATATCAAAAGATTTCCATACCTCTTATACTATTTTATAGGCTTTTTCTGAGTATTTAGATTTATTAAGAATACTGTCAAAAGCCTCAATAGGAGGAAGAGAAGTAGCATCTATTTTTTCTGATGTATTAAACCAATCATATGGGAAAGGAGCTTTATGAAATACTAAGTCATTTCTTCCTTTTGGTCTATGTTTTCTGGTTATAGGAAATCTTTCTGGATAAGCAAAACATCTATTTGACACTAGTCAAAATCTGGCAAATTGGGTATAAATCAGATATGCTGTATTTAAAACTGATAACTACCTGATTGTTGCTAGTTTTTAAATTTTGTAGTCCGATTGATGCCGATTTATAATACAAATTAGCATGCAATCTGGACAAAATCAAATATTAACCAGATATTAATTGGGCATTAATCAATAATAATGATATTTATATTGTACCCGAATTAAAATTAGAATATCTCTATCCAGGATCACGCTTTTATTATTATTGCTTATGGTTGGGATGAAACTCAAGATTCCTAGAATCATTAAGATTCACAATACTTGGGCATCTAGGCAGGAAA